TTAGAAAAGCATTCCATACTATTCAACATAACATATATACTGTTTCATAAATGGGAAAATTATGGTATACGTGGTGTCGCTTTGAAACTTGTGTCATCATACCTAGAAAATCGCTTTCAATGTGTTAAAACTAAAAATGTATGCATGTTCGCCGATGGCACAAATGTATCCTTCACTGGTAGCACAAAATTGGCTCTAGAAAAATCAGCAAACGAACATCTAACAAAGCTGTCGTCCTGGCTTCAAAATAACAAATTACAAGTTAATACGGACAAAACCAAATATATAATATTTAGACCTCTAAATACGTCAAGCGATGGCTCGATTTATATTTAATTCGAAGATGATTTGATCGAACAAGTGCAGGATCAAAAATCTTTGGGTGTTTGGTTTAATGAAGAGTTGAAATGGATAACTCATGTGGACAAAACTCAGGTCAGAACTAAGCAGGTCGGATGGTTGCATGCAAAAAAATAGCAACGCATGTTCCCACCTGGCTAAAGAAAATGCTGTATTATACTTTGCTCTATTCTAAAATATGCTACGGAATTTCGGCGTGGGGCACACCAGGTGTTTCCAATTATGACAAAATCATTGCTATACAGAAAAGAGCGCTACGCCTGCTCGAAAACTATAAGGGAAATAAAATCGAATTTAATAGCTCACACAATTTGATCAAACACGCAGTGCTTAAGGCAAGCCAAATATATTACTTTAAATTATTGCAAGCGATATAAAGGAAAGATTCTACGAAACAAATTAACAGAGTTCAGATAATCAATTTATATTTAGACATGACAAAAGAAAAAATCTGAGCATGCGCACAAACTACGGAAAACAAAAAATGAGTCATCAGACACCAAATTTGCTGAATCGGGTTGACAATCATCTCGATTTTTCTGTTCCTTATATAAAATATACACAAGCTACAAAGAGCATTGTTATAACACACAATATCACTTACTCATCATCACCAAAGTTAAACCTGCCGACATATATATTATCTTCATGACTCTGCGGTGTGTATATATTTACCATTATTTCACCATGTCACCACTCCCGTGCGGATCTGGGACGCGTCTTCTACTTGTTCTTGTTTCTCCGGGTGACCACTTTGGTTTTGCGTGAAATATAATATATTTTATTTGTTCACATTTTGTCTTTTTGTGCCGTTCAGACTGTTATTTTTATAGCAACAAAGGGCTGTGACAAGTGTTGATGTTGCTTGTGCTTCCGATTTTATCGTCGTTCTTCCCTGCGGATCTGGAATGAGTCTTCTACTGTGCTTTAGACCATGTTCTTGTTTCATTCTCATGATAATTTTGTTTTCCGCGAAATATATTCATCCTTAACTGTCCATATTTTTATGTTTCTTCTAGCCGTCTAAACTGTAACTTGTTAAAAGCAACTGAGGACTGACAAGTGTTACTGTTGTTTCTGCTTCCAATTTTATCACAATTTTAACTGTTACGCTATTTTTATGTAGCTCGGGGTTTTAGTCATGGAACATGTTGCTGGCGTATTTTTTTTTTTTTAACGTGGCAAATGTACTCTGCGCGCTGCTCTGAACTGTACAGGGTGTGGGAGCCACGTCAGGCAGAAATGCCTTTTGCCCTGCCTCCCTATCCGGCATTGCCGTTGAAAATCCAAATAAAGAATGAATAAATTATATCGGAGATATGCTCTTTCTTGAGCCAAAGACCAAACGGCAGCAGTCGGGAGGTCAAGGAGGTGGCCGGAAGGAAAGCAATAGAAAGAGAAAGAAGCGTTTGTTTGCCCACACTCAGGACCGTTTCAAAAAGCGACAGGCGGAGTGCGCCCGTTCTATTCTGGATGGGGACAGCGAGCGGAGGTGGCTGATGTTCCCACCTTTATGATGGAGTGGGAACGAGTCATGACTGGGCCAGCTCTGCCCGATCCACCGGGAGATTCTTCTCTCATTGCAGGGAATGTAAACCTCTCCTTCCCTCTGAGTGCTGCTGAGATTAAGCAGCACGCATTGTTTCTAACATCAGCACTGGCCCTGATGGGTTTACGGCCCGTTAACTTAGGGCAATGCCCATGCTACTGTTGCGGGTTTTACTGAACGTACTTATGTTTATGAAAAAGCACCTACTACTCTAAAAGGTGCAAAAACGATTTTTATTCCCAAAGTAACTGGAGCGTGCTTACCATCGCAGTTCCGGCCGATTACGATGGCACCAGTCTTGCTGCGATTTTTTAAGAAAATACTTGCACACCGTGCATCGCAGGCTGTGCACTTGGACTTTCGGCAGAGAGGTTTTCAGCCCGTAGATGGTTGTGCCGAGAACGTGATGCTGTTGTCCACGACTATTCAGAAAGCTCGCCGGAGTCTACGCCCCCTTCATATGGTTAGCATGGATTTGAGCAACGCATTTGATAGAGTATCGATGGCAGCCATTTCAGGGGTGTTAAGCGAGCTGGACTGGGGGAGTCCTTTGTGCATTATGTGTAAGATCTTTACGAGCACGCCAACACGGTGTTGCAGTTCTCAGGACATACCGGGGTAGTAAAGCCGTCTGCAGGTGTCAGGCAGGGGGATCCACTGCCCCCCTTCGTTTCAACTTAGTAGAGGATGGCCTGTTCAAGAGTATGCAGCCAGGTTTGCAGTTCTCCAGCGGGGCCTTCAAGATTGATGCGATATGGCCTTCGGCGACGACCTGGGGATTTTCGCATTTACACCAATGACTCTGCAGAAGAGGCAACTGGAGTTAGAGAACTATTTGAGCCCGAGAGGGTTGGAATTGAACCGGGAGAAATCCTTCACGGTTTCGCTAGTTCCCTCGGACAGAGGAAAGTTGTTGAGGTATCTACTTTCAACTTTTTCTGAGGTAGCGGGGCAAGGCCTGCCAAAGCAAGAGGTGATTTCAACCTGGAAATACCTCGGGATTATATTTGATCCTGGAGAACGGCGAAATTCTTCCGTCCAACAGGATGTGGTGGAACAGCTAGACAGGGTTAAGAAAGCACTCTTAAAGCCGCAACAACGGATGGTTGTTTCGAGATGTTATCTCATACCACGCCTGTATCATAGGCTTGTACTGGAACCATGGACACTTGGGGTTTTGGAAAAGATTGACGTCCTGGTGAGGGCTGACGTAAGGCAATGGCTGGCTTTCCTTCATGATGCCCCGAAGAAATTTTTCCACGCCCCAGTTAAAGAAGGAGGCCTGGGTGTTACCTGTCTGAGAACAGCTATTCCGGGGATGGCTGTCAGGAGGTTGAAGAATTTGGATGAGTCGTCTCATCCTATGTGTAGGGCAGCCCTTGAGCTGCCTCATCTTAGGAATATAAAAGACCGCCTCACCCGGTCGTGCTGGTATAGGGTTGAGGACCTACTTTCCAAACGATCTGCAATAAAGTTTTGGACGCAATCGTTGCATGATAGTGGAGACGGCGCTGCACTCAAGGAGTGTGCAAAGGTACCCCCGCAGCTTCCCGTTGAGTGGGCGAAAGGACCACGTTACTGACAGGAAAGCAGTATATCAATATGACCAAGTTCAGAATCAACGCATTCCCGAACTTGTCGCGAACAAAACAACAGCGTAATGTCCCGGTTCGATGTCGCGCTGGATGTTAGTCTGTGGAAACTCTAGCGCACATCACCCAAAACTGTTACCATTCGCAAGGAGCTCGTATTAAGAGACACGACAATATTGTCAAGTACGTAGCTGGCCAGTTGAGTAAGAAGGGCCGGCAGGTTCTTGTTGAGCCTGAGTATAAGTCAGCGCTTGAAAAATTCGTCCCAGATCTTGTGATTAGGCGGGGTACACAGCGTGTGGATCATAAAGTATGGTCTCCTACGAGCGCCACTGTTTTGACTGATTTAGGTTTCGGAGCAGGTGACATTTAGTTAATTATCATCCGGTGGCTACAGGGGGCGTTTGGTGCTTCCACTGCCGTCAAAATATGACTACCGCGAGAGGCGGACAATGATGCGCGTTGTTTGGGGCCACCGACGCGCGAGTTAGCTCATGAGGGCTTATTTGGTCTTTCTCCCAGAGGAGAGGGTAAGGACTTCTGGGTAAATGGATGCATAAGGTCAGCCCGAAGCCTCTTTTACGAAGGGCGGGCTTGTGAACGACCTTCTCGCATCAAATCCCGGTCGTAAAAAAAAAAAAAAAAATAAGAAGCTACAGGTGCTTGACGAATACCTGGTGCTCGACGAGTACCTGGTGCTCAACAGACACCAACGTTGGCTTCACGAGCGGCGAGTTTCGTCTGGACGCTATGGCCTTTGCTGACGGCCTCCTTGACTTAGCTTTCAGCAGGAGTCTGCAGGCAAGGCTTGATGAGTTGGCGAAATTCCTGGAACCACGGGGAGTGCGCGCCAATGTCGCGAAGTCCTTCACCCCGGTCCTGCAATCCTCCTGAAGAGAGAAGAGATCGAAGGTGGAGACCGACCTGGCCTTCTGCATCCGGGACCAGCCGCTGCCAGTGGCGACTACCACCACGATTTGGCGGTACCTGGGGGTGCAGCTTCATCCAGGGGAGGAGGCGCGGAGGGGCGGATCGAGAGTTTCGGGAGCTCCTTGAGAAAGTTTCCCGGGCGCCCCTCAAGCCGCAGCAAGGGCTCTTTATCCTTCGTGGCTTTCTGCTACCTCGGCTTCACCATAGGCTCGACTTGGGCCTCTGGGGGATAGGAACTCTGTCAAAGCTTGACAGGATGACTAGGGCTGCCATACGTAAATGGCTGGCCCTACCCCACGACACTCCGATGGGATATTTCCACAGCCCGGTCCGCGAAGGAGGACTAGGGGTGACTTCACTCCGGACGGCGATTCCGGCCGCGATGACGCTGGCCAGGATCCAGGGTCCTCGGTTCAGCGGTTACCCCGGGTGCGAAGCAGCCCTCCGATGCCGGATGCTGCTGGACCAAGTTCACCGCGCTCAGCAAGCGGCGAGTTTCAACGGCATACCCCTGACAACAAAGGCCGAGGTCCATAAGTACTGGGCCGGAAGACTTCATGGCAGCTATGATGGCGCTGCCCTGCGGGACGCCCGACATGTTCCAGCCACGCAGTCCTGGATCTCGGATGACACCCGACTTCTACCAGGGCGGCATTATGTTAATGTCATCAGGCTGCGGATCAATGTACTACCAACCCTCTCGAGGGCCACGAGAGGGAGGCCGGATGACGTGTCCTGCAGGGCCGGCTGTAGGGCAAGGGAGTCTCTCAGCTATGTGCTTCAAGCCTGCCACAGGGGGCACCGGGGTCCCTTCAAGCGACATAAATATAGCCCGGTACGTCACCATCCGCCTCAATCAACTCAAGTGGAACGTCCTCTGGGAGCCACACTACAACGTCCAGGGGAAGGTGATGAAGCCTGGCTTGGTGGTGACGAGGGGAGCCATGGCCGTCATCATCGATGTCCAGGTCGTCGGCACCGACATGGAGTTGGCGTTCTTACATGAGCAGAAGGCTGACAGGTACACAGTCCCGGACCTGCTACAACAAGTCCAGGGAAACCGACAGGAGCCACCGTTGGTCACCACAGTAACCATGAACTTTAGGGACATTTGGTCCAAGGACAGTGCGAGGGACCTCCTGTTATTGGGGCTGACCAAGTCGGACCTCAAACTAATGACAGTGAGGTGCCTCCAGGGGGGGCCTCCGATGCTTCTGGGGACACTGCAGAATGACGACTGCGATTAATACCCGCGGTTGATGAAGGCCGTGGTCTAAACCGTGGACTTGGGAGTGCTGCCGGCATCCATCTTGCCGGGAGCGAAGGTCATGGTACTTCTGACCTTACACAGAGTGTCAGTGAAATAAGAAAAAAAAAAGAAGCGCCAGGCAGTTTGTGCCTGCGCGATCCTTGATGGAAAACAGCGGGCAGTGGTGGCTGATGTGCAAGGGTTTCTGTGCGCAAGGGAACAGATAATGACTGGACCGTCTCTTCCCAATCTAACGGCTGTTCTGACGCCTGTAAGCCGGTCGGTGGATCTCTTCTTTCCGGTTACGACGGCAGATGTAAAACAAAATCTTCTGCCTGTAAAGTCTGCACCCGGACCGGATGGATTTATGGCAAGGCAACTCAGGGCCATGCCAATTATACTGTTGAAGTTCTTCTGAACCTGTTGATGTACTTGAGGAAAGCCCCAACAACTCTAAAAGGGGCAAGGACAGTGTTCATCCCCAAAAAGACGGGGGCTACACTTCCATCTGACTTTCGTCCAATTACAGTAGCCCCCGTTCTCTTGAGACTATTTAATAAGATCCTGGCGCAACGTCCGTCCGAGGTGGTTGCTCTGAATTTCCGGCAAAGAGCTTTCGAGGCAGTTGATGGCTGCGCAGGAAATGTGCTCCTGTTATCAGCAACAATTCAGGAGGCACGCAGGAGTCAGCGTCCGCTATATACGGCGAGCGTCAACCTAAGTAAGGCGTTTGACAAAGTGTCCACTGCGGCAATTTTGGAAGGAGCTCGATGTGCCGGGCTGGGCGACTCGTTCGTTCAGTACATTAAAGGGATACTACAACAAAATTTCGACGCTCATTTTTTGGTCTATATGTGTTCAAAAGAGCAGTATCACATGGAATATACCAATATCTTGTTAAAAAAGCCTCGAAAAGGAATTTTAAAACGAATTAAACGATTAGCAAAGAGCACCTGGTGGATGTCGCTAACGCCTCGTTTGTAATGCTCGTCTAGGAACCTTGACAGCTAGTGACGGAGGTTGTCTCGTCTCCGGCCACGACGAGAGAAGGAGGGAAGGAGGAACTCCCCTCTTCCCGAGAATCCCTTTTGTGAGTCGCAGAAGTCGCTATTGTCCCCCTAAAAGATTATAGAAGATTAACCCGTCACTCAAAATTCGTACAAAAGCAGCCGCTTCGGTGGCTGGAACGACTAGGCCATCCTCTCGACGTCAGCCTCGCCGTAGCTTTGCTCGTCTTGAGACGACCTACGTCACGATTGCGTTGAGTGTCACGTGCTCTAAGCTGGGCCTTCTCCGAGCGCTTGCCAGAGTGGGCCGTTTATAACGAAAAATACAGCCACCAGGATCAAAATACAAACGTGCGATTGTTGTTTACGGATATTGTGGATCATATTCAACCTATTTTTGAACACGACGGGAATATTTCAAATTTCGTTGAAGTATCCCTTTAAGGATCTTTATGAGAATGCGAATACAATTTTGTCCTTTGAAGACCAGTCAAGGGTTGTTAAGCCCACGGCAGGAGTGAGACAGGGCGACACCCTGTCTCTTTTTTTTAAATTTATTTATGGGCGGTTTCTTTATGTCCATGCAGCCTGGACTGGTGTTTTCGAGTGGCAACTTCAAGGTGGATGCCATGGCCTTTGCCGGTGATTTGGTGATTTTTACATCAACTTCTATGGGGTTACAAGAAAGGCTTTCCGAGCTCGAAGGTGATTTTAGCCCGAGAGGCCTGGAAGTGAATGAAGCCAAGTCGTCCACAGTGGCGCTGTTGCCCTCTGGGAGGGACAAAAAGATGAAGGTGGATACTACCTGCACCTACCATGTGGCTGGCAGGAATCTGCCCAAACAGGACTTGATATCCACATGGAAGTGCCTGGGATTAATGTTCGACCCCAAGGTAGCGAGGAGGATCGCCGATCCAGCAGGATGTGGGTAAACTATTGGTTAGGATTAAAAGGGCCCCATTAAAACCACAACAGCGAACGGTAGTATTGAGTTTCTATCCCCTACCAAGGATTTACCATCGGCTGGTTCTTGGACCTTGAACATTGGGTACCCTCGTGAAAGTCGATATCCTGATTAGAGCTTCCATTAGAAAGTGGCTGGATTTCCCACATGATACGCCACTGGGATACTTTTACGCTCCTGTGGTTGAGGGTGAGGTGGTTGGGAGTGACATGTTTGAGAACAGCCATACTAGGCATGGCACTCAGAAGGCTGGAGGGTCTAAGTGCCTCTTCCCATGCCATTTGCCTGGCTGCCTTAAGTTTGGCACATTTAATTGACTTGAAGGAGCGGTTGAACAGGTCCTGCAATTTCAAAGGCGAGTTGTTGGTGTCTAAACGGGCCGTTCAAATGTTTTCGACACGGTCTCTTCTCCGAAGTGTTGAAAGTGCAGCACTGAAAGAATGTGGAAGGGTTCCAGCTGCCGCAAGTTGGGTTAGCGAGGGAACCGCTCTGGTGTCTGGCAGACAGTTTATTGACAAGTGTGAAGATGGCCACCGAGTTGTCGCACCAGCACCGAGGTCCGCATTTTCGCGGTGTGGCGTGCTTAGTGCCTTTCATCTGCAGCGTCATCCTTCTGCAGTTCCCAAGACGTCTCACTGGTGATAGCCAGCCGGTCTCCCAAGGTCCTGATATTTCCTCGGCTGTGCAAGGGTCTTGCGTCCTCTCCAGCCAGTCAGGCCAAACGGCCACACCTAGCTACAGAACAACTAGACGTCATATACGTGCTCGGTGGGTCATTCTTCTTCTACTGTGTTCCTCCGAGGCACCATCGCCGCCGTCGATCGTGGCCCGTCCATCGCTGGTCATCAGTGGTGACGTCGCACCGAACCCAGGTCCTGTGGCGGTCTGCCGGCGCTGTGACAGGCGAATTTGCGACACCCAAGCTGCCCTACGCTGTGATTCCTGTGATCACTGGTGTCATCGATCATGCGTTTATATGACTCTGCCGCAGTACCGCAAGCTCGGCAAATCTTCCGATCAGTGGCATTGCATCGCTTGCTTTTTCCCTGTCTTTGACGATGACCTTTTTTCGGAACCGTCCCTCCATGTAGCAAGCGCCTCAACAGTGTGCGCCCCCGGAAGCTCCATCCCCTGTGAAGCTACTCGGCCTACCAAAGCTGTTGGGCCTGCCTCATACGGCACCAACAAGAGTCTCACACTCTGGTATACCAACGGCCGCAGTGTGAAAAACAAGGTTACCGACTTGCGCATGACGGTGGCGGCATTGCTGCCTAACGCGGTAGTACTGCTCACGGAGTCCTGGCTCGACCCCGGCGTGCATGACGGTGAGCTTTTGGACCTTTCGTCACACGCTGTATTCCGTAAAGACCGTCGGAGCAGAGGAGGAGGTATATTAATCGCTGTCCCTTCAGGACTTAGAGCGATACGCCGCGATGATTTGGAACACCCTGAACTTGAAGCGCTGTTTTTCGAACTATTGCTGCCACGCGGTACGATACTTCTCGGCTGCGTTTATTGTCCACCTCACAACAAAGAATCTGCGTACAAACACCTTGACGCTTCATTGTCCCGTGCAGCGAAAAAGACGTACAAAGACATCCTGATAATGGGCGACTTCAACGCTCATATCGACTGGTGGGGTCATGATGAGGCAGTTCCTGGCGACCGAGTCAATGACCTTCTTCTTGACGCAGTGTCTTCCGCCGGACTCTACCAGGTATGTCGGGCACCTACACACACGTCAAACGACGGCAATACTAGCTTCCTTGATTTGGCGTTCGTTTCGGATATTGTGAAAGTTAGGGCTTGCGATGTCATTCCCGGCCTCACCGGAAGTGACCACTCCGCAATTGAGCTGACATACTTCACCACGCTGCCCCGCACGGGACGGATCGCCCGAACTTTTTGGAATTATGCCAACACGGATCATGCCCACAAGTGCCAAACTGGCCCACCTTGTTCCGTGGTGTATCACCACCACAGGGTCTGACTGTGTATCAAACTACGACCTCTGGGGCGACCTTGCCGCCGCTATTCAGCAAGAGTGCGTTCGAAGCACCTCAAGTTCAGCGCGACGAAAGCGGTCCCCATGGATGACCTCTGATTTACTGAAGATGGCCCGTAGGAAACGGACTCTGTTTAAAAGAGCTGCCCGCATGCACTGTCCTGTCTTATTCCAAGAATCTAAGCAGCTCCAAAGGCATCTGAAAACCGCAATTTACGTTGCATTTAACAACTATTCACGCATCATTGCCCGAAAGATCAAGGACGATCCTCAGCTGTTTTGGGCATTCATTAGTCGACAGCGGTCCACCCCTCACAAACCGTGCCTCCTATCCGGTGATCGCCGCGTAACGGCTCCCCGAGATATTGCCCAACTCTTCGCCACACAGTTCTCGTCGGTCTACGGTAGCCACTCAGGTGACCTCGATATAGACACGCCTGTAGATGAAGTGGAAGCAAGCACCATCTTCCCCACCACTGTACTCTCCACCATTCAGTTTTCTCCTGACGATCTAAAAAGTGCCATCGAACGCCTCAAGTCATCACGCTCCGTCGGACCTGACCACCTTGCTCCCACTTTCCTCAAGCTGCTTTACCCTCTCATCTCGCATCCCCTGCTGAACATGCTGCAATCATTTGCAGATAATGCTTTTGTTCCGGACACATGGAAGCGGGCTTTCATCTCCCCCATTCACAAGGGCAGAGGAAAATCAACATACTCTGCATGCAACTACCGCCTAGTGTTCATCACGTCTATATTGTGTCGGATGTTTGAGCGCATGATCAACAGTAAGCTGCTTGAATGCTACGAGGAAAACAACGTCCTTTCTCCCACACAGCACGGCTTCAGGAAGAACACGAGCTGTGAAACAGCACTGGCTACGATCATGCACTACGTCAGTGACAACCTTGACCGTGGTATTTCGACTTATATGGTGCAACTAGATTTTAGCAATGCGTTTGACACGCTGAACCATGCTATACTCCTTCGGAAACTAGGAAGGGCAGGTGTACGCGGTCCTC